AGCTGTTTTTAATTTAAGCCATTGAAGTTTATTTTAATCATTAATAGATTGCGACGAAATGATAATCGCCCAATTCAGGTTCAAGTTCAATTTAATTAATAATGATAATGAATTGGAAATATATATTTATAATATATGAAAATATATATGCTATACAGTGTTAACGTATCAATTTCAGATAGTATAATAATCACAATGGAATTAATTTAATATTTTCTTTAAAAATTTAACTTCATTTGTTTATTTTATAGCTGGTTTATCTGATGGAAAAAAATTATTGAATAGTCTAATTATTTATTTATGCTAAGATCCTAAATCTTGTGTCTCAAAATAAAATTGCATATGTTTGATTTCTCTTATCAAACTAGCTTTTTTAGGTTACTCCACTTTCTTGGAACCTTATTTGTTAAGAGAGTAAATTCAAGACAAAATTTGTTAATATTGCTATAAATATCTGAAATCCTTTCTCGAAAATAATTTCTAAATACGGAACTGCTATAAAGGCTCTATTATTTTTGAAGATTTCGTTGCTATGATATTGTTTTAGGACAATCATATCTCTCATTCGAAGTGGTCAGAAGGTGATGTGAACCATAAACACTATAATTCATAAAAATAAAAAGATTTGTCCATTCAAAATAACCGAATATTACATTAACCATTATCTTTTCACTATAAGAACATGATTCGAATTAAATATGCCAGAGTCTTCAGATATTGGCGATTGTATATTGTTTTTGTGTCAGCCATACAGAAAATAGTCCTGTTTTTTGAGTCAACGTCGAGAAGATTCGAACCTTCAATTAATTGAGTATTGAAGCGTATCCATTCTTCTGCTAAATGGATTAATCATAATATTATCTAATGCGTTGTTTTCTATAATTTTAAAATTATTGTTGATTTTTCCGAAAACCACACACAAGCTTAGCTTGATTATTCGAAAATGAACATCTTATATTCGCGTCTTCTCAAAGAGATGTTGTTCGTGCACTAGATGTTTGGACTCTTACTTTAAAGTGGTTCATCGGGTCTGACGATGTCTCATCCGTGTAAACAAAGTGGGACATTAGTTGTGCTTAAATGAACTTCGATACACAAGGCTACCACCGTAACCGAACTTCATTCCGTTTCGGATATTAAATTTTCTACAACTAAACAGTGGTCCTAGTCGTTGCTTAATGTTGGTACACTTTCTTTATTGTCATAGTGTTCTGTGATTGATTCTGAGATTTTTATACCGGTTATAAATATTCCTCGGTGTTTTTAAAACGGTTTTCAATCTAATTTTCCATCTTAAATTATTGGATTTTGAATTATTAAAAAAGCTTAGTTTTTTTTTTCAATAGATAATCGAGTGAATAAAAAAAATATATTATTTAATTGTTTTATAATTATGAATTTTTTTTAGATACACTGGCATGTTTTACATGCTAAGATCATATTTTGCGATACGTACATGGGTATCGTAATACCCATTAAGTTCTAGAACAGAACAATAGATACTCCACAACATTATTATAACTAGAACGTGCACCATTGCTTAGTTTAAGAATAAGTGAGAATTGTTATCTACACTCTATATCCTTTCAAAATATGTCGGGTTAGGTATAACCTAGGTCTTTCAAGTATATATCTAAATATTTTTTGTTCTCTTGTGCAAACACTGAACCTATTAAGATCAGTTATCTTAGGCCTGATAACAAAATTTTTCAACTAAATTCTGACTATATTCTTCAACTATTCACATTCCTTCATAATTAATTTCCTTATTGATTCATGAATTTTTTTATATATAATATTATTTTATAAATTATACTTATGTACTATCAATAATAATATATACCATACTGTTGATCTCTTACACATCTGACTTAAGCAATTTAATCAAATATATTCATAATAAAGTTAAGACAGTTGTGCTGAAAATAGATTAGAATTATTCATAAATAGCTTTTAAGTGGTTCGTTATTGACAGAAAGATTCTACGTCATATACTCCCAAACAATGACATACAATCGTTGAAACAATTCGGAACTAATCTTTTTAATTAACTTACAGCTTGTGCTTAGCATAGGTCAAGTTCAGTAGAACATTATTCTGGTTTAGTAGACTGACATGTGGATGAATTTAATGGCTCATCCACAAAGTAGCTTTGTCAACTTGTGGGCACTGATACTTGCAAAGATAATGAACATAATGATCTTTGACAGATTTGCGCTCATGAAGATAAGTGTTCGTATAAGACCTTCAAACGGCGAGCATAAGATTTGTGAAAGCTAATTTTGATTTGTGCTCAGTTAGTTAGAATTTGACTCTTAGAGGTGCTAGATGATTCTAGAATTTGTGTTGCTCTGCGTCTAGATTACTTTAGTTATATCGTTCGGAAAGCCGTTTAAATCAGTCATTTACCACATTAGAAAGTAAAACTGCATTCAGTGATGAAGTCACGTGTGCTTGTATTACTGCTCTCAGTACATGTAATGTGGGTTATCTCGAAACCGACGGATTCAATTGATTTTGTGAGATCAAACAACGTAATCGAGAATGATGCGTTTGTTAATGTACCGGGAAATTCAGATTTACAGTACCGAATTGAATACGCGAAGATATTGCAAAGTTTTATGAATGAGAGTGTAAATCCGTGTGAAGATTTTTATGAGTATGCGTGCGGAAATTGGAAAAATGTTATTGAAGAACGACAAGCGGAACACAAACGTAGCAATCTTATCGATATTGAGTATAAATTAAACGATGCCGTAGAAAAGATGTTAAATGATTCTGTTGAAAATTTAACAGAAGAATATGCTAATGAATTTAAACTAGCCCAGCAGTTTTATCAGTCGTGCTTATCAGCAAATTTACACTCAATAAGTATGTCGCAAGTATATATTGATGTTATCAAATCGATTGGGGGTTTTCCAGCTATAGACAAAGCATGGCAATCAGACAACTTTAGTTGGTTCAATATGAGTGCTCATCTCACCAACTACGATGTTGATGGATTAATTAATGACTTTATTGTTCCACAATACCCATTCGGACCCTATTTTAAATTACCAGATTTAGGGTTTGATTATGTAGTTCACAGTGATAATATAGCTTCAAATACGACGCAAAGTTATATAAATAATGAAAAAAGCATTCGAGACTACTTAAGTGCATATGGAGTAGAAGAGGGGAAGATATCACAACTCGTAGATGAAATCTTTGATTTTTGGCGAGCAATCTTAAAAGTAATGGATGAATTCGAAGAGGATATTAATAAATGCTACATGATTTCAGCAACTTTTGATGTAGAACCATTTGCTCTTTGGAGTGATTATTTTGATATAGCTTGGATGGGTCAAGAATTCAATGAGTCCGTTATAGAATATCCATGCAGCTATTTTTATAATAGGTTGAACACCATCTGTGATGAACACAAAGAAGCTGCAGCAAATTATTTAGCACTCAAATTTTTACACAGAATGGACGCTAAACTTAAAAAGAAGGAATTCCAAACGGAGTATTGCCTTATGGATATACAGTATACTTTTCGATTTTTGATCGATAAGCTTTATTTAGAGGTAAGTTACACTGAGTTTATAAATGCTATAAAATTTCTATAACGAACCACTTAAATTCTATAACAAATAATGTAAGTTCCGAGTATTCATTTTCAGAAATATTTCAATGAAGAAATAAAAACCGAAGTTACCGCATTGGTTCAGGAGATACAGAAAAGTGTACGCCAACAAATAGAACAAGCAGAATGGTTGGATGAAAAAACACGCACTGAAGCTTTATTAAAAGAATCCACAGTACAATCACGAATTGGTAATTTCGATGACCCGGTTATGTCTGAACGTCTCATTCGCGAAATAAATAATCTAACTTTTGATCCAGACAACTATGAGCAGAATAATATAAATTTAAAGAAATTTAGAATATTTATAAACCGATATCTTGGTCTTTATAACGAAGACATTCATAATGAAACGAAGCCTCTCGAATTAATGATAGGCAAGCAAGTCAATTCTTTTTACTACAATATCGACAACTCAATAAATGTAATGGCGGGCATTTTGCATCCGCCAGCTTATCATAAATCATGGCCGAATTCTTTAAAATTCGGTACATTAGGATATCTTGTGGGACATGAGTTTACACACGGTTTTGATACAGTTGGAGCACACTACGATAGCAATGGTGGCGAACGATACTGGTGGACGAAAAAAACTGGAAAAGTATTTAATAATCGCACAGATTGTTATGTTCAACATTTTAATGATTATTTGATACCAGAAATAAATCGCAATATTAACGGAAATCTAACCAAAGATGAGAATATAGCAGATAATGGTGGACTTCGTGCCGCACTTAATTCGTACCGCAAATATATGAAGGAATTGAATAAGGAAGGTGACCTGGTGACAACATTTAAAGATGAAGACATGCCTGGTCTAAATTTATCACCAGAACAACTGTTCTTTGTAGGTTTTGCACAACTGTGGTGTGCATCATACAAAGAAGAACACTATTGGGAGGAACTAACCAGTGAACACCCTATTGACAAATATAGAGTTTTGGGTGCTTTAACTAATATGGAAGATTTCTCTAAGGTTTATGAGTGTCCATTAGGTAGCAAAATGAATAAGAAGGAAGAAAAATGCAGAATTTGGTGAAGTGTTTTTAATAGATTTGGTCAACAGAAAATGAATAAAATATGTTATTAAAACGTTTGATGTAAAATTCTTTACAAATGAAAAGAATTTATTTAAATTATACATAATAAATAATTTATTTATGTTTTTCTTTTTATTAATTTATTTTTTCATGTAATATGAAATGTTTAAGTTTGGAAGAATAACTCGAAATAAAATTATAGGTTAGGTTAGATTGGAGTGGTGTGGTGTGGGGTACTTGGGCAAAAAGTTCATTTGTGCTTTCATGAATATAAATTAATATTATATGATTGCACATCCGTCTTGTTTTAAGCATAAAAAAAACTCATAGACTGCGTTTTTTGTTATGGATAAATCAAAGATTTTATGTTCACCATTTATTAATCGATGTCGCACTTCAAAGAACAAAGGAATTGCATATTATTTGTTCTTTTGAAATTCTGAGAACGTTTATTACAAGCTAAATATCATACTTTTTCAGTGAACTACATAGTCTTCCTGGTAACACATTTCAAAGATTTGATAAAGCAAAAAATGGTGTCAAACCGAGATAGATAGATAGAGGCGTAGTCCTAGCGTTTTATTTTCCTAATGGTTTGTCTACGATATTTTTTTCTTTAGGGTTAGTTCATGTTCCATAATATAGTATATCTTTAAACTACTTCTTTAGCTCTTGAAGCTTTCGTACAAATCACTATATAGAATATAATCTTATTTTTATCTTTAATATTTGAATGTCAATTTTTAAAATGATTATTAATTATGTATTTTGCTTATTTTATTCTATAAACTTACGCATTTCTGTTGTACTTAAATATTCGCTTCTTGTTTATATTACTAGTCTCGTAACCGATATAGCCTCTTATTTTCTATATCTACTAACTATGATTAAAATATTTTTATATACATATACTGCAAGGTAGTTCAATATTACAAGCGTTTAATATGAGATATAAAGAATTGTAATATGTGATTTAATGAAATAAAAAATCTCTAAGGTAATTTTAAATAAACTAACATTTTACTGTTATTATTTAAGAAAATAATATTTTTAATGAATCTATAATTTCTAAAAATATTGTTCTTAGTTCTTTTGTCGCTAAATCCTTAAATTGCATATAAAATTAACAATTTCAATTCAAAAATAAGAAAGCCATTAAAATTTGTTAACTAACTAACTAAGTAACTAACTACATCACATCATTGATTTGCCGCTTGTGAGGATTTATAGGCGTTCAAGCCCTCATAATTCTCTATCAAAAGTGTTTTGTAGCGACGCAGTTGTACTGCGAAACCTTCTTCACGATTCTTTGCTGATAAAATAATAACTCGTGAGATAACTATATGTGAGGCGTTGGATTGGCTGAAACCTTTTATTATATCAATTTCATCACCTATACCTAACTGAAATAAGTAAATAAAAATTATTGGGATATTTTCTATAAAGTACCATACACTAACCTGCAAACCTTTTTTCTGCAACTTTGTACCATTGACACGTATTTTACTATCATAGAAAATCTGTTCGATTTTGCTTTGGAAATAAAAAATTTATTTGGATCATTGATGCAAACCAACTGGCATGTTTACATTTACTTACTTCCTAGCCATGCCTAAGCCCGCTTTTAATAAAAGGTCCGCACGCAGTGAGTTTACTTTGGCTTTAACTACTTTGGAATCACGGTCGTCTTTAAATTCTATATCCTCCTCATCATCACTATCCTCATCCTCGATGTCTTTTTTGTTGTATTTCCTATTTGTAAAGTTCAAATGAAAATCTCTGTACAGTGATTGCAGATAATTTCCTTGGATATTATTTGTACAAAGTAAGCGTTGATTTGGCTCGATTGAGGTAGACGTTGCTTTTCTAAACTGCGTGCTTAGCAAATTTCTATTCAAACGATATGCACGAAATGTTCGCAACATTTTTATTTTATATTCTTAAATTATTATGCAGGAAATTATTTACGCTAAAATGTAAACATAACCTAAAGTTTGCACAGCTGATCGCCGCGTTGCCAACTTACGTTCTTACGTTCCATTTGTATATTTTTTGTATCTTTTTATTCCATTATTTATTTATTTCGTTTTCAATAATAATTAAATATAATTTTACAATTTATTTTTTAACATTTGAGTTCTTTTTAAGTTTCTTTTTATTTACGTTCCATTTGTATATTTTTTGTATCTTTTTATTCCATTATTTATTTATTTCGTTTTCAATAATAATTAAATATAATTTTACAATTTATTTTTTAACATTTGAGTTCTTTTTAAGTTTCTTTTTATTTACGTTCCATTTGTATATTTTTTGTATCTTTTTATTCCATTATTTATTTATTTCGTTTTCAATAATAATTAAATATAATTTTACAATTTATTTTTTAACATTTGAGTTCTTTTTAAGTTTCTTTTTATTTAATCTTTTTGGATTCGGAATTATTTTGTGCACGGTAAGTGGTTGATAATTGCCTAAAAATTCGTCAACTTCTGATTCAAGTTCACTGCTGCTGAAAGTGTTGGTGCTAGTGCTGCTGCTGCTGGTACTGAAACTGCCACTGCTTCTTTCAGTCTCACTTGCATCATTTTTCAAATCTGCAGCGGCTGTTGAGTGATCTTTGATATGTGCAATTTTACTTAAAGCGTTTGCAAGATTGTCTTTATCCTCATTTAATTCTAACTTATCAAATTTGAAATTAGCTTTTGGATTTGATAAAGAAATAAAATCTTCACTCAAAGTATTTTGAGTTTGCTGTACTTCCATAGAAACTGGTGTAATATCAATTTGTGATATAGATTCTTTAGAGTTTATGTGGACGTTGGAGTTATTTTTAGATCTAACTTTCTTTATTAGTTTAGGTTCTTCTATCGTCTTTACTTTTCTTAGCCTTTTATGCGCATTTATCCAACTTCCTAGTTTTTCACAAACTTCTCTTATATCTTTGGGCAAAACCAAAGAAAGTGCTTTAATTCCAAATAAATCCAAAATAAATTCTTCCAATTGAACTTGCACAAATACCGGCGCTGTATCGTTATGCACCTCTACATTTCTTGTTATAAGACCGATAAGATATCGCGGCTTAATGCTATGTGATATTAATACACATGAGCATTGTTTGTTGTTGATAGCACGCAGACTGCTTTCTAGGCCAATTTTTATGTGCACTTCGGTGGCGTATTCAAGAGGTTGCTTCTCACTTTTTCGAACGACATCACTTAACAGTTTTCGGAAGCAGTTAAAATCATCGTCTGTTAATGTCGGACTAAAATAAAAAAAAAAATTATTAAATTTGTTTATTAAAAGTAGATATGATTCTTTACCAAACAATTTTATAAGGATTTGCAAGAATTGTTTTTACTTTTGGCTTTTGTTTATTTTTTACAAGTTTTGTAGCACTCATTGCACTAGGACCGAACTCAACAGATGTGCTAAATGTCAAATAAATTGTTGTCGTATGTTCAGTTAAGGTATTTATTAATTCAACAAATATTTAAGAAATAAATAAATTTATCACCTTAATTTTGATAACAGCATTTCGATTGATAGCATATAATATTATTTGGGCTTTAGTTTTAGATAATTTATTTGAAATATATTATGCTTTATGTACAAAATTAAATATATAAATGTAACGTCCTACATACTCCAAAGCAACTTATAATTCTAAAAAATTGTTATTTGTTTGAAGATAGTCGCACTGAAACAGCATATTTTTGAGTTATGTTTTTTATTAGTAACAATGCTTTGTGCAAATACGATATTAGGACGTGTGCGAGTTAGGCTAAGTTGATGCTAATCCAAATGAGAGACTTTTTGGGATTTTTTGTATTGCATACGTTCTTAATATGTATTACATGTTCATGTAAAAGAAAAATTTCATTGTTTTATTTTGAAATTTTTAACATTTTTCCTATTCTTCTTAATTTTGTATGCATTTTAATTTTCAATCTATGTTAATTATTCATTTTTATACAAAATATAATTTGATCGCATTATGAAATTTTTGCTATTTGTCAAAACATAACACTTCATAGATTGCAAAAGTGATGTCAATACAGGCCAGCATGCATTTTTTGCCATACTTGCAAGCCATCGAAAAAGCTTATACTCTGTCTTGATTTTTTGGATGTATAAGTGAGTATGTTCAGTGAACACCACTATAATGCGATAAGAATTTTGTTATATAAATAAATAACTATTAATAAATTTAAATTTATTATAAATAAAATATAAATATAATAAAATATAAGAACAGAAAATTTAAATTGTGAAGCATTTATTATTGTTAATAAAAAAAAAATTTTTTAATATATCCGTAAATCTATTAGATGTATATATTTAAAAATTTAAAGATAGACCAGTAAACATATGACAAGTAGAAAAAATTCAAACAAATTTGCGATGGAATTTCATAAAAAGTTTTTTATATGAATATAGATATAGGTAGTACAAGATTGTGAATAAATTCGTCTATATAATTTTCAAACTTCTAACATTACTAGTTAATGCTAAATGAGCAGTATTTATCATGAGCAGTTTTATTTTTCTTGCAATTGTCTTATAACTTTTTGCTTTTATTTTAAAGATTGTGTTTTGTATTTATTCAAGTATTGTTCTTTTTAATAAACAAAGAAATTAAAAACTCCTTAACAAATAATTAACTTCTTCACAATTACTAATATGTTATTCTTTTTCACAAATTTTACTAAAAAAATTACTTTTTTAAAATATTTAAATTTACTCATTAACACACACAACAGTTATAAATAGTTGACAGTAGACTGGAATTTTTCATTTTCTTCCAAAAATCAATAGAAGTTTTAAGATATGACACCCTTGTAGTAGGTTTATCCGTTAAGCCCTTTCAGGAAAATGGGCTGATCTTTGTGCATTTTGTTTTTGGTTTTGCATGTTAAGTTTTAAGCGACACGTCTTTTATTATTAGTCTTTTATTTATTAATGAATGAACATTCACATTATGCAGCTGATAGAACTTTTGTAAGCTTTTATAAGCTTCAGTTTAAAAATAATCATCAAAAAAAAATTAAATATTGATATTGATAATTGATATATTTGACCATTTATATTGTAATGAAACCATTTACGGCCGTTGACAGCTGGGGTAGCCCACGGTCCGCTAGAGTAGTTACAAGAATATTTCTTTGAAATCCTGAATCTTCTCGTAGTGTAATAAATTTAAACCATGTGTAAATTTTTAGTCTTATTTTTATTTTTTATATATTATCCTTTATTTTACAATATATTTATAATCTATTAACTACCAAAATTATAATTTTTAAAATAATTCCTGAATCAGAAAAATCCGATTAGTATTAGGAAGGGTACCGACTAGGCTATGTTGCTCAGAATCACCGTTACCGACTAGGCTACTCTGGAAGGTTGGGAATCAATGTTACTGACAAGGCTACGTTGCTGGGAATCAGCGTTACCGACTAGGCTACGCTGGAAGGTTGCGAATCAATGGTCTATAATATAAATTTCTTAACTTCTATGATGCACACTGTTTTAAGTGCTGTGACCAAGTCATTTTTGCTTTTTTTTTGGGCAGTAGGTGGAAAGCATCGAAGGCCACAGTGTGAGACTTGAACCCACTAAAACCACCTCTAAGGAATGAATGGAGCAGATTTCCACAACAATGTGAAAACTTCATTCCAGTAATCAAGGGAGAGAGGAGAAAAAATAGACTTAGTACCTAGCAAGCTAGATTTATCTAAGCCAGAAGGCAGGGGCGTACATTAGGGAAATTGGGTTATAGAGAAGGAAGGAAATTATTGCTAATAGTAAATTTATTGTTGTGACGATATCGTTGTTTATTATAGTCGTCACAATATATCAATTAAATATTCAATTTATAAAAACAAAGAGTTCTAAACCTGACACTTGCAGTCCAAGTAAATTATAAATGGATAATAAACTAATTAAAAAAAAATTGAAATATTTCCTAAGGCCATTGGCGCAAGCGAGAGGAAATCGAGGTGCATAGAAAAAAAAATGATGCCCATAGTTTCTATCAAAAAGTTAACCGTCTGATACAAGGATTTAAGCCTGCAGCATCAACCTGTAAGAACGAAAATAGTAATCTGATTACGGATACAAAGAATGTGCTGAAAATATGGAAGGAATATTTCTTTAAACTACTATCATGCGATGAATAACACTAATTCCGCCTTTGGAGAAATGTTGTCTGAGTCTCAAATCGAAAACGACGGTGTTGAAATTTCACTTCCTAGACATAACGTACTGCGGTTTGAGGAAAGTATGCCCAACGATTGGAATCTTAGTGCCCTTTGTCCTGTTTTGAAAAAAGCCGACCCAATGATTTGCGTACAAGGTTCTTTCAGCTGTACTGTGTGAAAGCTTGAAGCCATATGCCAACTCACTGATTGGGCTTTATCAGTGCTGCTTTGGACTTGATCGCTCTACCATTGTTCAGATATTCAAACTGTGACAAACCCTAAAAAAAGCCCATGAATACAAGATTGACATCCGCCACTTTTTTCGATTATAATTGTCTGAGCTCGATATTCCTGCAAAGTTAATACGACTCTGCAGAATAACTTTGAACAATACCTGTAACTTTTGAATGTAGGATAGAGTCTCTCCAAACCTGTATCTTTTCAATTTCGAATCAATATTTTACGAATGTGCACAATTAAAAACTTTCGCTCTATAGATCGCTTATGCTACCTATGTTTCTGTATGTGGCAGAAATATGGACATTATCAAAAAATATCGAAGAAACACTGTATGAACTTTATCACAACATTGCTATAATTCAGCCCATTAATATTTAGAGGCTTCGCTGGCTTGGCAATGCCGTGAGAATGAATAACAATGCTCCAGCGAAGAAGGTATTTAAAGCAGTAGTTAAGGGAAGAACACGTAGAGGCAAACCGTGTCTACGGTGTCTACTTGACTACGGTCAAGTTGAAAAAGTACTTACCGAACGCGCATGCAGTAGAAGGTCTTGGAGAAACATTTTGCATTAGGCCAGAATTCGATAACGGGTGTTATAGCCAAATAAGTAAGTAAGTAATATGAAGTTAACATAATTACTGACGGCATTAAAGGGACAGATTTTCTAATAAAATACAACTGTAAAATTGATTTTAAAACATTTGTTCTAACTATATAAACTTTAGAACCGCAAGAAAATATTTCAATACATCTGAACACTTTATAAATAATGACAAATAAATATTAATTCCAAAAACAAATTGTTTCAATAAATATAAACTAATAGTTTATAGTTTATAGTTTATAGAGACAGTTTGATTCATGCTAATGAAGTTCTGCCAGGAGTTTTTGGGGCCAATTCTATAATATCAGTATTTGGAAACAAACATTAATATTCTAAATTCAACTGAAACTGACAATTGTTTGAAAAATTTGAATTTATTTATGGATCCATTAAATCAGTAAAACGTACTTAAATTTGAGAATAATAATCAAATTAATACTATGAATGAAGATATATATATAAAAGGATTGGATAAAAATGCTAAGCAAGAAGAACTGTGGATTTGTAATAAATACAAGAATGAGCCGTTTTAACCACAAATAATTAAACGAACAATATAACGATGTTTGTGATAACCTGTATACATGAAAAATTATAGATCATCTCACACATATATAAAAGAAAAAGAGAATCAAGTTCAAAACTTATTACATCAAGGTACAATAGAGCCTTCTTTCAGTCCACATATTTATCATTGTTAATTTACCAATGTGGAGTCATGGAGACCTGTGATTGAATTCAGATCACTTAATAAAAAAATGGTACACTATAATTTTCCATTAACTCTTTCCATTAAGTATTAGATAAAATTGGTAAAGCAAAATATTTTTCAACACTGGATATGACAAGTTCATTTTATCAAATTCTCTTGGGTAAAAACCAAAACCTTTAACAGCATTCTCAACTAAGCCCGGACACTACCTTTTGTATTAAAAATTGTAATATTTTGTTTTCAAAAATGTCATCATTGCACTATATGATCTACAAGAAGCAGCATTTCTAAATGTAGATGACACTATAGTTTACGGATCAAATTTACAACCTCATAATAGAGATTTAGAAAAAGTTGTTTAAAAACTTCTGGAATCCAATCTTAAAATAAATTTAAACAAACGTAAATTTTAACTTTCAATTCGTTGAACTTGTGTTTCCAAATAAAGCTGTAGTTTATAAGCTCGTTCTAATTTAAAGCACGGCAAGTGCTTTGGTTGGTGTCACTAATTAAATAAAAATAAGTGACAATAAAACCTGGAACTTGAGCATTGAAAGTTTGTGCAGCCTTGGCTTCTTGTGGATAAACACGATTAGTCATCGCTTCTAATTTGACAGGCACGAGTTCTAAGCCTGGCACTTGCAGTCCAAACAAATTATATACGGACTATAAACTAATTAAATAAAAATTCGATTATTTCCAAA